AATACATTTCTAATGACTGATGGTTCTTTGAGATTATAACCAGGATCTGTGTTTTTTGTTTGGAATTATAATTTATAACTACGAGCACAGCTAGTAGTTAGTTTATATAATTAAGACTGCAAAAAATACTGATATTTCCAACTGCAACTCCGTGTTTATATCAGCTAACAATCTGTTCTCTGAAGATATATTCGGTGGGATTCAACTAAGTTTTGATTTGTTTCTCCCAAAATGATGGAGAGCATAAATTTAGCTAGATGTATTGTGTAGCTAATTTTGATTAGTAACATTAGAGTAACTGGTTTATAATATCAAGGGAAGCATGACTCTTGTTATTTGCAGGTGGTGAAAGCATTTATGGAAGTGTTTTTGCTGATGAGTTCCATTCGCGACTGAGATTCAAGCACAGGGGCTTAGTTGCATGCGCAAATGCGGGATCACCTCATTCAAATGGAAGCCAGTTTTTTATAACATTGGATCGCTGTGACTGGCTTGATAGAAGGAATACCATTTTTGGGAAGGTAATAATGATTTTTCCCTACTATCCTATGCATTTGTTTCCTGAAATTGGTTGTGTTGAACTCGTTTCCACTTTTACAGGTAACAGGTGATTCCATTTTTAATCTTCTAAGATTAGGTGATATTGAGACTGATAAGAATGACAGGCCATTGGACCCACCAAGAATACTGTCTGTTGAGGTAGGCTGGCTTCTAGGATGCAATAGTGGCTATTCTCCTGTGTACGGTTGTAGAAAGCAATGCGTGCGGGATGTTTTTGAGCACTTCTTGACCTTTTTTTCCATTCTCATTATTCATAGGACATCATGTAAACGTGAATTCTTTTTCTTTACCAACTTAAATGAGTTTCTGCCTACCTCAAGTCTGATTATAGAATGGAAATAGATTTTTATCCTCAACTATATTTTCTCCAGGGTCATGCAGTTAATTCTTGAAATCATATGTTTCAGGTTTTGTGGAACCCTTTTGATGATATTGTTCCCAGGCAAGCATCTGGAAAATCTTTGCCTTACTCCACAACTGACTCTGAGAGCAGAGATCAAAAGAAGAAAGCTGTAAAGTGTGTTCTCTACTATTTTCCTATTAAAGCCTAGTCTTTTATTTTATGATACAGAGAGAAACTACATGCATGCGGTATCCAAATCTGTTATCAGTAATAATGTCGCACTTTTAGGTATTTAACTATGATATTTGCAAAATGCAGAAAGCTGAACTTGCTTTCATTTGGAGAAGAAGCAGAAGAAGAGGAGAAGGAATTGGCAACCATAAAAGAGAAAATTAAGAGTAGTCATGATGTGCTGAATGATCCTCGTCTCCTCAAAGAAGAAATACCAAGAAAAGAAATGGTAATAAAACAGCATAAAAATGGATAGACATATACAGTTTCAAAGAAAAAAAATGATAAACATATAAGATGCAAGCTTTTCAGAAAACACTTGTACATCTTTAGATAGTGAAGCTTGCTTGTCTCCATTTCTYTGTTTATATTACCTGCTTTATTTTTCCTTTTTCTTTGATTGATGGTTAGGTCATTGTTTTCACTAAGGGCTTAGATTTTCTTTGCTCTTTTCCCAGCTTCCAGTTTTCTATCATTGAATGATGAATATTAGATAATTTAGATTGTTAAACATTTGAAACCATTTTAGCATCTATTGAAATCCTGCAACCATCTTCTTTTGGGGAAGCTTTCTTCTGACTACTGAGCCACAACTCATGCAATCTTAAAACTTAGTCTTCAATGCATTCTTTCTAGCTGTTTCTTCCCAAACACAATGCCAATTGCTTCAACTTGATGGTTGGAAATTCTTGTTTTAGTCAGCACAGTTAGCAAATATGGTCTCGACTATATGAAATTTCAGAACTGTTAGCTGAGACAATTTTCTCCACCCATTAGCTGTTGTATTCTGTTGCATACAATGTCTTACTGTCTTAGTAAAACTATTTTTAGTGGGTCAGCATCATAATTCTCCTAATGAGGTTAACATCTTAATCTCAGATTGTGAGTTTGCCATTTGAGATTTGAAGCACCACTATATTTTCAATACCAGTTAAGAAAACCTCTCAAATTTGGAATTTGCTGTCCTAGCTAGATGCATTAATGCGCAATCTTGGACCAGTTATTAGTAGCTCTCTCTATGCCACTTTTTTTTTTCGTTGTAATGCACCATACATGTAAAGGACAGCCATCAAAGCTGGCTGGCGATAATCTAATAACTTATTGCCAGCTGCGATGGTTTGACCTTCATTACATGCAGATTTTTTTTTTGCTGTCTTTACTCATTAAAATGCAACTTTATTTTCTTTTAGTGTTGTGGTACACTATATTCTGATGGTGGTTTTTGAATCCAGGACCCATCAGAAGTCAAGAAAGCAAGGGATTTGCAATTATCTGTGAGAGAAGCTCTAAGTGGAAAGAAAGGAGATCCACAAAAAGGCCCAGATTCTACTTCTCATGATGTCAGTGATGACGACGATGACGACGACGACAATGATGATGATGATGAGGCTAAATTTGATGAACGCATGCGTCTGCAAATTCTTAAAAAGCGGAAGGAGCTTGGAGATCTTCCAACCAGGCAAAAATTACCCAATGGTACTGAAGAGCTCTGTTTTTTTTTTTTTTTTTTTTGAATTTCCTAATTATATTCTTGGTTTTATGGATACTTGATGCTGATGCATCATTCTGTTTGCTGTTCAATTGCCCTATTTATTGTTGATGTTTAAGGCATCGTATTTGTGTATCACATG